GGTGATGGTGATTGGCGCCGGCTGCGGCAGCTGCGGCTCCTCCCGGTGTGTGATGGTAACTAGGCCGGCGGCAGCGGTGGGGCTGCTCAGGGCCCTCTGGGGTCCGCTCTCCGCTCCTGCTACCGATCTCGAACTTAGATGTTAACATTTAAAAAACTATTATGAGCAACACTGTAAGGGAATTCTTTATTTACACTTTTTTGCATGTTTGTTTGATTACCTCCATAAGGATGAGCTCTTAGAAAAGAACCAAGTGGTGTCAGTTACCTGTTTACAAATTAATGCTAGTGACAAGCTACCTCCAACTGAAAGCTTCAGACAGTGCTCACAGTCTATAGCAGGTAATTTAGACTGGGCACAGCTGGGCTGTTCTGGGTGGGCCTGGGCTCATTTCCACATCAGTAAGTCAGCTGTAGGTTGGGGGACAGTTAGGGTGGTTTGGTTTTGTTCCACAGCCTAGACATATTCTCAGGGCAAAAGTAGAAGAACAGAGGAAGAAGAAACATGCAAGGGCTTTTAAAACCTGTGCCGGAGTCAATCCTGTTAACCTCTTGTTGGCCATAGCAAGTTATGAGGCTGAATTTGAAATCGAGAGATCAAGAAAAGAATTAAAACATCCAGTTGTGAAAGGCATGAGTACAGATGCAGGCTCAATCATATAATGCCTTTGCATAGTCCACCAAGGTACATGCACCTTTCACATTTTATCCTGTCCCTGAAGATGCATGAGTGTCCCTTGTGTGGACTTCTCAGTCGACGGATCCCACTTCTGCTTCCCAGGAGGCACTCTGCTCCAGGGGACGCATCTCTCTGCACAGCCTGTGAATCCTCAGACTGGTCTCCTTGCAGGCTCTTGAATGTCCCCCTTCCCTTCACCTTCCCCAGGCCACCACCATAGAGCCAAGCCAGGTACATTTTCACGGCCACCTCTATCACCTTTGTAGCCCCTACACTTCTGCTGTCCTCTAAGCCTCTCCAAAGCCGCGTAATCAACTTTTCCCAGGACTTTATGGCTTGAAAATGCAAAGTCTTGCAGCTTGGGAACTCCATCAGTCCTGGGCAAGCCCTGTCCAGTTGGACAACCAAAGGGCAGAGATTGGCAAACTTGAAAGGGTTAGAAAGTAAATATTTTGGGCTTTATGGGTCATATGGCCTCTGTCACAGCTGCTGAATTCTGCCCATGCAGCGTGAAAGCAGGCCTACACAGTACCAGTGGATGTTGCTGTGTACCAATAAAGCTTTACAAAACAGGCAACAGGCTGGCATTGGCCACATGCCATTATTTTCTAGGGCTTAATGTTTGCACTGTACAATTTAACCCTATTCAATGATGGTGAACCTTTTAGAGACTGGGTGCCCAAACTGTCTATGCTCACAACCCACTTATTTCTCACTGCAATCAAGCTGGAATACAGAGGTTTTAGTTTTAAAAAATAATCTTAAAAGAAGAACACAATAACTGAGCTTTCAGTGCTACAAACAGTGGACTGCACTCCACATGCCCCAGGGTTACCACCACTGCTCTGTGCCATGTTCTTAGTTATTGTTGTGTTTTCATTTGAAAGTCTTTTTTAAAATTAGAATGTAAGAGAAGTTTAATATCTTGACATCATGCCCTGACACTTAACAGCTGTGTAAACTTGGTCAATTTACTTCGACTCTCTGGCCTCAGTTTCCTCATCTTGCTCTGTGTGTGTGTAAGTATGAGGCTCAGAAAAGGACCAGCCTGAGTAGGAATTTCTGCCGACTTCCGGGAACCCCCAGACCCAGTCCTAGCCCAGGTCCGGTGAGTGTGTGGAGAGCTTCCTGCTACCCTGCGCCAGTGGG